GCTGAGTTTCCACCCAGAGCAAGCGTAACAACCTTTTCCCACTTACCAGCCAAAAATAGACCCCCCTCTCCAGCGCTGCTGAGCACAGAAACTCTTTTCCCAGTGCTGGGACACATCCCATATTTACCTACCTTGTAGTGAGAAAGGGAATTAAAAGACAAACCAAAGGAGGATGTATGGCAGGGAAGGAGAAACACTGCAGCTTCAACCCAAACCCAGTGTCGCAGTCTACCATCGTAATTATGCTCTAGACATCATGCTGATACTCCCAGCCGCAACGCGCAGGCTGTGTCAAGTCTGTCGCTCCCCCCCACTCACTTTTCCTTGACTGGGGGGGGCAAAAGGATGGGTGGTGATGAGTTTAGTAGAGTCCGTGGGGGAACATCCATCAATGAAAAGCGTATAGAAGCAGTAAGATGGTGCAGATGCCAATGATGCTACCCAAGATGAGAGAATCTCGTCGTTTCCGAAGGTTGATCCTTTGAATCAGGCTGTTCACTGCTGGAAACCGATCTTTAAGGAGTCTGAGTCAAGGTCATATCAGCAAACGATATCTTCACTAATAAACCCCAAATTCTGTATGTGGAAATCCCAATACTGCAAGAAATGCAGAACTACTCCCAGGCTGGAGAAAGCAGATGCAGTAAAACCCCTGAAGGGTAGTTAGCAGGATTACCACTGTACTTCACTAATAAAGGACAATCAGAGAGAGAGAACAGAACAGCCTAGAGCTCACATTTACACATAATTCATCACTTGATCACCTAAATTGCCAGTGTTTGATATACTTTAATCTCCAGCATGTGAGGCTTAGTTACTTTTGATAATTGTGTTTAAATGAGAATGAGAAAAAAGTAAATGGGGCAGTTACATAAAACATCTGTGGAATTTATTTAATGGAGCTCTGTTACTGGTGAAGGGAACAACCAAAGGCATTTGCCTGAGAAAAATCATGCATGTTGCATGACTAGGCACTGTTGAAGTATAGCACATAGGAAGAACTCCTCCTGCTGTAAAATCATAAAGATGCAAATCTGTCTTTTAATGTACAAAATACAACTGCCAACGAGATAATAAGTTTCTGAGCTTCACATCTTTGGTACCAAGAATCTCTTAAGGCCAAAGCTTATTGAATTTTTTTTTTGTTCTTGCCAGTTGCTAAGAACTGTAATGGAATTTATGGGTTACCAAGATACATCTCTTCGGGATGTAATCCGTCTAATCACAGAATCACAGAATCGCTCGGTTGGAAAAGCCCTCTGAGATCATCACGTCCAACCGCTCCTGTCTACCCCCTAAACCATATCCCTAAGTACCTCGTCTACCCGCTCTTTAAACACATCCAGGGATGGTGACTCCACCACCTCCCTGGGCAGCCTGTTCCAGCTTCTGACGATCCTCTCAGTAAAGAACTTCCTCCTTATCTCTAACCTGAATCAAATGATGCTGATGCTGTTCTTTGGGCCCTTATGACAGAAAGGAAGGAGTAAGTGGGAAAACCACAAACACGCATGACCAGACAGTCTGGGACATTCTTCAGCCATGAGCACAGAATGAGAGGAGAAACCAACAAACCAAAACCTTACTATCTACAAGGCTGTGTGTGACAGACCAGAGGGTACTCAGGTCATTAATAATCTTATCTGTAAACCATAACAAGCAGCAGTGTATGCTGAGCTTCAGCTCTGGACAGTCTTGAAAGCAAAAAGCAAGAAGTAAAATGGAATTATACTTTTATGAAAACATATAGCAGGGAAAGCCATAAAATGACGTTGCACAGCTCTACCTGAAAATGAAGCGCCATGGACTTATGTGCAGTATTCAAATTTGAGTAAAAATAACTCATTCACCACATATATCATTAAGATGCTTCAGTCAGATTATCAAGTGAGACTGGTTAAAAAACGGTCTGTTTGTCACAGGTGACAATACTGCTACAGGTTATACAGCCGTTGACATCGCAACGCATTGCGATACCCAAATGACAGAGTGAAAAATTGTACTATACCTCTTCTTATGCCCTGGCAACACAGATTTTAGGAAAGGATACTAGCCAAGGTATTCATCTTGCTCTGTATTGACTTCAACATCCCTCTCTGCGAAGTCATATTTTCTTTAGTTGCCATGGCAATGCTGGAGAAAGAAAAAAAAAAGAGTGGATCAAGTTGTCGGTGCTAAGAATAATCTGCAGCTAAAACAAGAGAGAGCAAGCAGGCAACGCTTCTTTAGAGAACAATGAATGAGGTGAAGCAATATGAATGAAACCACATTTTTTCCATTAATCTCTATCCTTTACACTTAAAGGATTTCTCTTTTTACAGAAGCCATTAAGAACTGAAAACACTGCGCTTTCTTGAAACGGGCAGGGTTTTGGCACATCTCCCCCATCCCCAACAAAAATGTTACTGCATTACAAGCAAACCTAAAGGTACTCTTCTGGCCTAAGCTTTAAATTGAGAAGTTTGTTTAATCCCAGACGCCCCATACTTGCCTTCACTCTAGAAAGCATGTGAAATTCCTTGTCTGCCATCAGCATACGATGGCTACAGAGGTATTAAACAACCAAGAGCTGACTGTGAATTAAAAATCAATTTGCAAAGCCAATGTGCTGGTTTAGAGGAGATGGAAGTGCTGTCTGAGACCCAACGCCACCCCTGGAGCTTTACACAGAAGAATTCTGGACCACCAAGGCAGGACATCAGTGACCGGGTCTTGGACGACGTCTGAACACAACACAGCCTTGCGGTCTGCTCTGACTCGGGATTAATGCCGTCCTCTGAGCCCAGGTAAGTGGGCACAGCTGGTGTATAATGAAACTGCATCAAATGATGCTTCCATCACAGCACAGGTAAAATACATTTTTGAGCTTTGGTCTTCATTAACAATATCATCCATGGATATGTATGTTTTCATACTCATTTGTATGTTTCTTTACTAATTCACGGTCCAGCTGTATGTACTTTATCCCACTATAAGGACACAATACAGGTGAATATGAAACAGAATTTCCCATTTCAAATCTGATACATTCTAGAAGTCAGAAAAAAGAAACTGTGCTCTTAAAAAAACGACATTTAAATGAGGATTTTAAAGAACTACTCAGCTGACAAAAATTGTTCTCTACATTAAGTTTCCTTTCAGCTTGTAAAACAGAGTTATAGGGCGGAAAATGTAAGAGTAGGCTACTACTGCTAGCCCCAGGCAGTATTTCACGTAGCTACTTTGAATGCAACAGCTTTGTAGAGATAAACTGCACATCCAGAGAAACAGTATATAAAAGATCAGGCTCTGGAGATGCGGTGCTTAAGAAGGAACAGTACGACAAACACTGCTCTCCTTGGCTGGCATGCATCTAAAAAATAAAGAAAGCAGGACATAAATACAACATGGCTGGATAGTAACTCAGAAAATGACACCTATGTTGCTGTTGACTGTCGCTACATGAACAACAACAGTTAAAACAAATTCTTGGACAAGTTTGTGAGCTTTAAATATGGAGGGAAAGCATTCTGCAAGAATAAAAGTTAAGTGGAACAACACAGTACAACAGGCATAAATACGAGAAAAGGGAACTAAAGCCATAATTTCAGAGGAAATACAACATGCGACTTTTACCCAATACAGACTTCCAAATTTTCCAGAGCATTTTATGCTTGCTCACACTGAGTGCCTGTATACAAACACGACACAAAAACCACAGCTAACGTGTTATCACTAAGAACTTAATCTGTCTTAGTGTATCTTTCCAAGTAAATCTGGTAGGAAAAGTCACACAAACAACCAAGGGAGGTTCAGGTCAGAGATAAGGAGGAAGTTCTTTACTGAGAGGGTCGTCAGAGGCTGGAACAGGCTGCCCAGGGAGGTGGTGGAGTCACCATCCCTGGATGTGTTTAAAGAGCGGGTAGACGAGGTACTTAAGGATATGGTTTAGGGGGTAGACAGGAGCGGTTGGACGTGATGATCTCAGAGGGCTTTTCCAACCGAGCCATTCTGTGATTCTGTGATAACTCATACTTGTACACTTATTAAACACAGAACTGCATTCCTGACATTGTACCAGAAAGACCATTTGATACACTTAATTCCAAGTTTCCCTTGAACAAAGCACCATTTGGAATGAGCAGCTCTGGCACAGCTGATGTACCATGGGCTTCCCACTGGGACACTACAGCATCACAGCAATCGCTGGCAAAAACCAGCGGAGCCAAGTGAACAACTGCCCTTCAGGGCCCACAGCGAAAGGTTGGGGTCACAGCTCACAAATGTCTTCAAGAAGAGAAGAGCCTGGATCAATGACCCCTAAAGTATTTGCAGGGCATCTGGGCTCCCTTGCATTACATCTGCATCCTCCACCTCAAGCAGCCCTTGATACAGGATCTTCAGCCTTCCTATAATGTGCCAGCAAACTTAAAGAGGTAAAAAAAAGGTGGAAGCTGCCTTTTCCAACTCTGGGTTTGCCCATATGAACTAAGAGCTCATCAAGCTAAAGCTCCAGTGCTATGATTTTGGTTTCAGCAGTAGCAGAAACGCTTGGAAAGCAACACAAGTTTGTCACACAGACGTATGCGAGGCATCGGTGCCAAAAGGGCCAGCCTATGGCTCTCATAGCCTTTACGTCATGGAAGAGACTTCCAAAAGCTCTACACAGAGAGCTCTTTGAAATACAAACACATGCATTGACAGGGCAGATCAATATATTATTTTAAGGTTATATGAGCATTCTGTAAACTTGGACGTACATTAGGAAATGAGTTTATCAGTCATACAGAGAACAGAAACAGTTTGGTAATGTGTAGGCAAACCCCTGACATTTTCAATCACCAACTCTGTAAGAACTGATTTAACATTTTAATACTAAAGTTTTGAAGCATCAGATTTTAAAAAACTAAAATTGAAGTTTCAGGGCAGAATGAAGAAAAGCCTTCAAGCATTTTTTACTTGCAGCCAGCGATTTAGCATTGTTTTCTTTAACAGTTTTGAAGTGCCAAACCAGCACAAAGTGAAAATGAAACTGATGGTTAACTGGAACCATAGGGCTTGCAGTCGCCTCCTTGGTGTTTACAAAGGGGCTGCCAGAATCCATTAACCCAGGCTCTTGGTTTCTGCAAAAAGAACAGCAGAAAGTCTACAAAGCTGCTCCTCTTGGGCTGTGCAGCACAGCCACTCAGCACATCATGCGTGCTTGTTCCTGTGGATATATTAACTCATCTAAGCCATAAATGCAACTATTTATTGCATTACACTGGAGAGCCTTTTTGGGACTAAAATTACAAGAAAAGAAAGTGAAAATCAGACTGGAGGTGAAATAAAGAACTGTATCATTGCCTAGCCCAACAGTGCATGAGTGTACAAAGAAATGCACCTACAAGAAGGGGTTAACAGAAATTCTGGACAGAGAGTAAAAAGCTGTATATCAATATAGAAACATTACCATCAAGGGCTGAAAAAGGGGCTACGAAATTAAAGTAGTAAATACATCAAACTGTATCACGTGTGAAAAGATACAGCATTTGACAGATTACAGACATTTACAACTCAGCAGACAGGTATTTACGTTTTCTAACGCAAAAAGCCACAAGCTCGCAGGAACGTCACATTTGCCATTGAGAAAAGCACTTGGGAAATTTTCAGTTACTAGGAACCAAGCTAGAAAAAAAAAGATTTCCTAGCTGTGCACAGGAAAGCTCAGTATCCCACAGCTCCTTATCTTACAGCCCCACTCTGGCTTGACACTTGTCCAGAGAAAGTTTTAATACAGCATTTCTCAGAGCACTCCCGATTAAGCCACATGTTTTCCTAAGATGCATCCAATGCCTCATTAAGGCATCCTTTAATTTCCAGAAGTGAAAATACAAGATGATTGCCAGGACAGAAAGTGTTCCTGAGACATCTCCAAAATGCCTTTGGCAACAATTATTACAGATTATCACGGAACACAAGGTTCCTGCTTTAACATCTGAGGAGTGAAACCACCCATCTCATAGAAAAAACCAACTGTTTCAGTTTACAGGTTACAAGATTGAAACCTGCTTTGTTTCTTTCATCCAGAATTTGAAAAATTTAGCTCGATGGGCTAGGTTTTACTGCAGAGCCCTGAAGGAAAAAAACCCTGTAGTAATTACCATTTTTAATGTGATACGGTCGAGTAATGGAATGTAATTGTGATATCCATGAACAGGAGTTTAACTGGATTGTAGCTGCCATTAAACAAGTCAGAATTCAAGTAAAAAAAAAATAAAAATAAAAAGCCCCCCAGTATTTCACGTATAATTTGCTCACTCTAAACATGAGCTGCTTTACCTAAGCCTTTCTATCTGCAAACGAGACTATTAAATTTAGTGATTAAAGCACACAGTTCCTGGGGGGTGGTCCACTGATCAGCCCTGTACAGTCATATCCTTCCTTAGACAGTTCTGGTTCCATTCCCATCCCCAACATATGCTCACTGACATACTGTTGCCATTGCTTCACTGAGAAACGCATTTATTAGAAAATTAATCATATTTTTTCCCATTCACAATATTTACTCCATTTAGTTATTTCACACTAATCTCCCCAAATCAAAAATACCTTTTTCCTACGTTTCAAAACTACTACACAACATTTACAACAACAAAAAAATAAATGCTTCTTCCTGCAATCAAGATGACCCTGATTTAAAATTTCATTTGGAAACGAGCATGAACTATTCTCGGTGCTGCACTGGCTGGAACTACTTGAGTTGGGTGTAAACCAAGTTTCTAAAACCAGATGGCATTCTGCTGTCTATATTTAATATTAAAGCACTGCTGAAGTACAACAACGAAGCTTGCTGCGGTGCTGGAGAGCTCTTCTAGGCAAGCCCAAGGTCACAGCCGCAAAGAGGAGCAGGAGAATCTCAAATCCATGCTTTGCAGCCGTATTTCCTCAAAACCTCACATTTCAGGTCTGTCCTTGAACGTTCAGTAGCGCTGTGGGTATGCAAGCAACCAAATTTCTCCTCAAAAGTAAAACAACCGATATTTGTAGGGACTTTGCAGTTTTCACTGGCATGAGAAAGGAGTAATAAACACTCCCAGCCATCATCCCAGTCAAACTAATCCAACGTGCAGAGCTACGCTTTTTATGCTGCTTGACTTGGAAGCAACGTGTTTTTCCCCAGACAAGCGTTGAAGCTGTCGGGGATTTTCACCCCACGTAGCAGCCGCACACACACAGGGTATTATCAGGTGAAACCTACCAAAAAGTCGACTCGCTTCAGCCACCGAGACAGCTCAGTCAAAGCTGCACTGATCACAGAATCACAGAACGTTAGGGATTGGAAGGGACCTCAAAAGATCATCCAGTCCAATCCCCCAAGATAAAGAACCAAACAAAGCTCCAAAGGAACAGGACATGTTTTTGAAAATCAAATAATTCATGTATTACTAAAACTTCTGCTTAATTTTGTACTCCGTGAATCATAGTTGCACATTTAAATTCCTGACAACGTCTATGATTAAGGGAATGGACTCTGTGACTCTGCATAGAACTGCAAGCTCTAGTTTTAAACTGGTAAAAATTCTGATTATATCACTTATTCTTCATGTATACATAGGTACAAATGTTTGTATCTACAAATATACACGTGTCTATATTTATGCATATGTACACATACACATAATCTTCCAAATTACTTTAAAGATTATTGTGTCTCTCGATAGAGCCTAAGGTGAAAACAAAAGATTTCCCCAGAAGTGCAAGGGATTTTGCCTGCATGCTCTGGCAAGGCTCTTCTGAAAAGAGCTAAGACTCAAAATCCACTTCATGCCTTTCCATTCTGTAAAGTCAAAATTCAGCGGAAGTGAATGCTTCCATTTTATTAAATCCTAATTATTACCTAAAGAAATACCCCAAATAGATAAGGAGATGAGTTTTTTTAAAACTAAATCCATGCTTTTGGTCTGGCTTCAGAGTGGAAGGGGAGTAGTCCAATCTATTAATATACCAACACTGACAAATCAGCCTGAATCAGGCCTCAAACAGTATTACAGTAAAATCTTAAGTACTTGTCACACTGTACGTGCAAAACTATTAAAAAAAAATAAATCAAACCGAGCCAACCTAAAAATATAAGTTGTTGGAAAACAAGAAATAAATCATTTGCTATTTTGGAGAAGTGATAATGTTTGATAATGAAAACCTGAGAACACCAAACATATTAAGCAAGATCTATGCGTGTATTTAAATATGGCCAAGAGAAGCGAGCGCTGTTCCAGAAGAGCTGCAGTACAAAGTCACACATCCCACTCGTTTCTGGGAAGAAATATGCTGCAGTAAGAACCCATGTCACGTAATTCATTTAAAAACTGATTAAAGGTTTAGTACTAACAAAACAGCTGGAATGAGAGCCCTACCCCTCGCTGTAGTTACTGAATTCATTGCAGCTTGGGCGCCTGTTTATTCTCCTGCACATAAGTTTGCTCCTGTGGAGGAACCGGACACAGGGAGGGTCGGGCTCTGCAATTTTTCAGAGGAATAAAGTCAGAGCAAGGCTTCCAGGATTAGGGGACTGCAGAGTCCCCAGCAGCGGGGTCACCACCATGCAGCTCTTAAATAAATGCCTCTGCACGCACAGCAAAATGCCTGCCAGTGTTTACAGTCACTGCTTAATAACAACTCCTTAAAAAATAAAAACTGATATCTTAACTTCCTGAATTACACCCAAATAATGAGTAATGAACTCCAGCAGATGTAAACCTTGAGGACAGCGCAGTATGGTAGCCACAATAAGCTCATTGCCTCTCACTTCACTCAAGGAATCGGCACGCAAACAGCTTCCCCTGCACAGTGCCCTCTTTTACTGGGTTTACAACAGCTCAAGCAATTGATAATCAGAAATTGTGTACATTTCTATCCGGTAAAATCACTTGAAATGCAGCAGGGTTTACCACCAGTTAATATCATACCTAAATACTTGCAATTACTGGGGATGACAAGAGTTTAAAAAAAAAGTCACCCTAGTTTCAATAGTGTTGGAACTGAATTAAGATCATGTAAATGAAATTACATTTCCTGCTCAATGTTGTTACCAAAACAAACTCTCTTTCTACAAAAAGAAATATAGAACATTTTTGGCAACAGCTACAAGAAGTTAATTTACTATAGATAACAAACGGCGCAACAAGGAGAGCCAAAATCCAGCCTCTGAAAAATCCAAATTCATTTATTAACAGGGATCATTGCGTGAGCAGCAGTTGCTGTGGAGAGACAATTTGCAGTCAACCATGGGACTGCAGCTCACGCAAATGAAATTCAAAGGGGTTTTAAACCAGCCCGGACACCTCCTGATGGCACCATGGAGCTTTGGAGGAGGCTCAAACTGGACAGAGGAACCGGGGTGAATACTGAGGCTACACAAGCAGCTTAAATGATAAAATACGACTTATTTTGCAGCATATTAAACAATAAATCACCATACGCTGTTTAGTGCTTTAGTTACTGGAGTGGCAGCAAGTAAGAGATTCCACAACGTTGAGTATTTTTATGAGACTGATACGTAGGGCTCCAAGTGTGGCAATGGAGAGGAATTTGATCAGGAAAGGACTAGAACTCAGAGCAAACCAAATATTCACAATACCTGTGCGAAGCTTGGCAAATATCCTTACGCGGCTGTGGTGAGATTATATCCACATTTTCAGACACTCTTGTACTGACCACTTCTGGTTCATCGCTGCACATTAATATGGTTTAACACATCCTTCTACCATGTTAATTACACCGAGCCCACTGTGTATACTTAAGCTAGCCAGCCCTTAATGGACACTGAGCCTTGCTGCACCTCTAATTACTCTTCTTGATCGCTTATGCCAGGACATGCATTATCTGAAAGCATCTCTTGCTTGCTTTCCTCCTTTTTTTTTTTAAGCAATAATCTAAAATGTAGATTGATTAAGTTAGGCACTCTGAATTATTGGTTTGCAAAATCCCAGAGTTCAATGGAAGATTGGGAAAGGCACAGATGATAAAATTATTTTACAGTGTTACAGTTCGAAAATTTCTAGATCAGTCAGAGAGAGAAAGTATCACACAGGTATTTAAACCATGTAAAAAAACCCAGAAGATAAATAACTATACAGCAGCAATAACTGCTCAAGCCCTGGTGGTTAAAAGCCCTTACCTATATCAGCTGCACACTAAGGTGCTGAATACATGGAAGAATTACAAATCCTGTTGTGGAAGAGCATCACTGTGAGAAGGAACAGCTGGACTACTGGAATAGCCCTCAACCGCTCCACCTGAGATGTGCCCTACTCAGTCATTTTGTAGGGGCTACTCACCTTTGAGCAGAAACACAACTTTTCTAAACTAGGATGAATAAAATATTGAAGCAACTCCATTATGTCAACCATGAATAGAAAAAAAACCCCCTCAAATCTACCACGACTTCATTGCAATACTGCCTATGAATCGTAAACAATACAGTTATTGTATAAATAAAATGACTGATATCTTTAGACACAATTCAACGTAAACGCCTACTGCACAGAAAATAATGAAAATTACCAAGTTCATTCCTACCTTATTGTTTCCTCTATCAGTCGATCTGAGCTGAAAGCCAAAAGAAAAACAAAAAGGAAGTTAAAAAAAAGTAACAAGTACTAAGTATTATTTTAGATTATTAAATCAACAATTGTCATAATACAAGCCTTAAATTTGCCCTTCGAATGTCTTATTTCTGGATATTGTTACTTTTTGCTACCACACAGATTTGGTACACACAATGAGAGTCCTTGGAGAAGACGCATGTAGCGTCCTCTGGAGCAGCATTTCCTAACTGCATGCAAGAGTGGATGCTCAGGAGGACACATAAAACACCAACAAGGTAGAAAAAGTGCAATGGGCTCCACGATTCATGGCTAATGAATGTGAACTCAGCCCCATGTGTAGCAGGAGCCCAGGACAGTTTGGAAAGGAGCATTAGAGAAGGAAGTACCTCATTTTTTTTTTCTCTTTAATCCTGGCCATTCCTGCCCACCCCCTCAAAAAAAATCAATTAGAAATAAAAGCTTAGTTCCAGGTAATAACATCGCAAAACGCTGCTTCAGAGCTGGTTTACAAACCACTGTTTTATGGTGGTTAATGAGGCAAGTTCTTTTTGTAGTAATACCAGTTGGATGAGAATTAAGCAATGCTTATGGGAAACCGAATCCACGCCATCTGTAAGAGAAAGACCTTGATAACACGCGCCCCTTCCCCTCGCTGCCACGCGTTCATCACGTTTCTGTGTAGCATCGCTGGGAAAAGGACAGCCTAAAATACTGCACCACGGAGAGAAGACTGCATTCAAAAACGGGTGTGCGAGATCACGACGACAAACAAGATCCTCACAAGACTTGAGCAGTTTTCCGTACTCAACTTGTTATAGGCAGGTTTTTCAATCACTGTTTTACAGCCAATTATGAAAACCCAGAAAAAGGTACCTTGTTAAAGCAATCAATATCTTAAATGTAACACTGACACAGAAGAAGTGACTGCAGCCCCACTTCTCATAGTGCAGAAACAATACGTCCCTACAATTGCTCCATTTACCCCACAGATTTACACAAGCTCTCATAAAATAACTGAAAAAAGTGAGTTTGCAGTTTAAGAAGGAAACCAATCTGACAGAGAGATTTTATGTTGTACAAGACGTTACTTCCAGTATTAAAGCAGAATTTATTGCTGCCAAACTAAAAGGATTAAGAGACACTGCAAGGGCACGACCGTCTTCATCTCCCATCCTCCTCGTTCCCAGCATTTCACCACCTCAGGAAGGGACGGCACCAACGGCGTCGCATGGTTCTGCCTCTGAGTCAGCCGGAGCCGCCCCATTTGGAGCTTTTCTTTTTCCCTCAGAAATTCTGGAGGCGCTCCCACACCTCCAGCTGGAGGCACGGCCACGCAGCGCGTGTGTAAACCGCTCGGGGCGCGGAGACACTACCAGAACAGCCTTGTTTGTCTGTGAAGAGGAGTGAAAACATGAAGGTTGCTATTTTAGTCCAGTCCAGGGCTTGAAATATGCAGACGGCACACAGAGCACTAAAAACATTTTGCCTGGTTTTAAGTTGAGAGGGACTCAAGTGGGGCAGCAAACACTGAAAACACTGCAACGCTCCCTTTTGCTCCCAGAACAGAGCCACGCTCCAAAGACTCACATCAGTTACAAGCTTTAATCAAATCAATAATCAGCTGCATCGGTTTAATCAAATAAAACAACTCTAATTCACTGTGTGGTGTTTATTAGCACTGGCACGGAGAAGTGAGCCACCATAGTTATGTACACAGAATGAGGTACGCAGTCTCCAGTCTCACAGCATCTGATAATGTCCCCAAGGCAAGCAGAAAAGCGATGCATTAAACATTTCTGTAATTGCCGATTCTCAAAGATACAAAATCCAACGGCAAATGTGGCTTTCAGTGTATTAAAGTGCACAGGGTATAATAAGAATAAACTGCAAAAACATCCGAAAACAGGCTGAAAAGCAAGAATGGTGCACAAGAATGGGTAATTTCACAAGTTTTGGTTGCTTTTTTTTCTTGCTCGTTGGTTTTAAAAATCATTAACAACAAAAATATTTCAGGTGCCTAGCTGGAAATAAGTCAGACTTGCAAAAATTCTGTGGAACAAAACACCGCTAGAACGATCCTATTAAAAAAACCCCAAAACCCTACCCTGGATAAATCATCCCCAGCATTACCAGCTCTTTGCCCATTTAACTGATGAAATTATAGAATCTTCATGTTGATGAACTGAAGATGACAGGAAAGTTGCACACATTTCGAGACCTGAAGTGAACTAGGATGCTCTCAGAGGTTTTCAGAGCACAGAAAATTAGGTTTCCCCATTTGCAGCAGAGACATTAACTGCTCTTTATGTGAGAGAAAGCTGTAGTTAGGCAGTTATATTACTTAATGAGCGACATAAACACAATAAAGTCTTAAAAACCTCCAGATTCAATTACATTATATGGCATTATTTTTTATATATGTATACACACATATAATAATAAACCCCAGAAATACAGCTACCTGCAAAATGATGGCAGGCAGAAGTCAATAAAAGTGTATAAAGCCAGCAATAAGGAGTTCTCAATACCAACAAACACCGACCTGAGATGCCAATGCCGACACAAAGCATTTACCAGGCAGCTGAAGTCACGAGATCCATGTTCCTCAACTTATGGGGAAGTCATCCCAACTGTTTAAAAGGATGCAATGCATTTGAATTTTCTTCAGAATGACTGATGTATAGGGAAGTGCAGACTGAACTAACTCTTTTAGTCTGAAATAAACAGCTGGGAAGCATACGGATTTACTAAACAACTTCCAGTATCTTCTTCCCACCCCGAGGGCCATCATCTCCTGATGGCCCTGAGAGAATCGCCAAAAAGCTCTCTACTTGCAAGCCTCCAGCAGGTGAACGAATTCCAGCAGAAAATGGCATTCACTGAAATTTTGGTAAAGGCAGAGTGAGCAGGAACACGTTATGGTAAAAATCCGTGCGCCTCCCTCAAAGTTCTGTTAAGTTTAGTACTTCCTGCAAAAGTTCACTTAGGTGATGTTCATGATTGATGAAGTTCACTTTAAGATGCTGGAGGCTTTTCCAAAGGCAATAACACGCTCATGCAGCCTCTCAAAGTCCTTCAAAGTTCCTGGCAAATACAGATTGTAGCGTTCGCCTGCACTGACACCCGAACAGAAGCAAGCTGCTGTTCCATCACTTTACAGTCCACAGCCACAGAAAGTAACCAGTTTTGGGAAGATCAGGAACGTAAAGTCCAGCAGGGCTCAGAGAGCCCAGAGCAGTTTGCAGGACTCTGGCTATCAATAACCTGCTCGACACAAACAGAAGTTGTTCTCACAAGCATGAATAATGTTCAGCTGTTTGACAGAATAAAAAATAACACTGAAAGAGGTAATTTTGCTTAACTCACACATTCAAAACTCTACAAAAAGAGGCCCTTAAGAAAACCCCTTGACTTTGTTCTTCTGCTTTTCAAGCAAAGACAACAAATCCAGTGGACATTACCTTATGAACATCCAAAGCAAGCAAACCATGGGTCTGGGCAATATTAATCTGATTTGCCATCTGTTTCAATAAGCTCTGTGTTTTCAACTGCCTAGACAGATGGCACTTTGACAAAGCCATTTAAAAATACTATATGAAACAAACACTGAAAGATGCTGAGGCAATCACCTACTGTAATAAGTGGCACAAATCCAACGGCAGCAGTCATGCATACGAAATAATCAGGCCTCTGTGCAACTGCTGTCTTCGCAAAAGACACTGCAATTTCTCATTTAAACGTGCAGACAGGTAAATTAATCCAAAGCAAAAATTAAGGGAAATATGCCTCTAGCATAGAAAATAAGCCTGCCCATCACATCACACTTTTACAACTAAAGAACAAATTATGTTTGGTTTTTCAAAAGCAAATCTCTAAGCCAGCAGCTAAAATTCACCAATACAGATCATTACTTAAGTGAGGGCCGGGCTTCTCCCACATACACAGGTTTTGCTGCTGACTTACTAGCTAGGTACCCAATACGAGTATTGGCAGTGGAAACAGGGTGCAGCAGTAAGGCTCACCTGCACACAACTCATTTCACAGTGCACTTTAAACCCTTCAGTAAAAATTAAGGGCAATATTATCACAAAGAATAATTTAAAAGGATTGGGGGAAGCCCCTGTAGGATAAACTAATACAGCACTTCGTAACTCTTCCCCTACTTTCCTAATTACAGAAATAATAACTTACTCTGTTCTTTCTCTAACTGCAGGCATAATCTCTAGGCTCAGCTCTCAAACTGCCCGCACTAAATGTTTTATATTTTCACACTCCTGGATCAGGCAACATGGAGCTTCCAGGAACGCAAATATTGCAAAACATACTTGATACTTCAACACAAATATACATATTCTGATGAAGCAAATCAGATTTATACTGTCAGTTATTTCCATCATAATAATAATTCCTAACTCACAAGTGAAAGGAACGCTGTGCACACAAAAAAGTCCAGTTACAACTCATTTTATCTGCTTGCCATCAATGTACCTTAATCTAAAAACAAAATATATCTAAATATCATTAAGCCCTTTCAAAACTCAACCAGGAGAATGGCAGATTTGTGATAACAAACAAGATACTCCAGATTTTACAAGACTCGTCTCAAGCTTGGTTCAATTCAGCGTCAAAGAAAGAGTGAATTCCACAGGAGCTGCTTAGCAAATGTGGACAGCTCCTACGGCAGCTGATAATGAAGGCAAAAATTGGTGTGGAAGCCTACTCATGGACTGAGACCCAACACAAGAGCGTGGCGAGACAAACACCTAGAGTATATGACACCCAAAAAGCGAATATTTATAATAGAGGATGGTGCAGACAACACAAAATTGGCTCCTGTGTTTTTATCGAAGGGCAGAAGCAGCACCTGCGATGAAGGCACAGCATGCAGCAGCCCAGGCAGGAAAAGGAATGTATGTGACTACGATGCATTCATCTTACATTTCCAGCATGAGGAGAGCCAGCTGGCCAAAACCAAAGATGTGAGGTAATATGGGCATTTTC